TGACTGACGGTTGTGCTGTTAATATGAACTCTGTCTACGTAGATCTGGGTAATGTGGAGATCGGAAGGTGGGGTCTGAGAGGTGGAAATATTTTTTTTTTCCATTAGTGACCATTATTTGTGGAGATGTTTGGATTCTTTGTGACGACTTTTATTGCTGGTTTTGAGATTAAACTTGAAGATTGATTTATATTTTTGCTACATCTAAAGGTCTGTGCAGATTCCATATTTGTTAACTTCTAAGTAAATATTGTAGTTGTTGTTCAAAGCTGGAGTATACACAGTGAGAAAATTATGAAATACCAACCAAATTTTTTATCACCTTTATGCAAGAATTTTCCCCAGGAAAAAACGTGTCACAGAGGTGTTTTGTCCATAAAAATTCTTCAGTTATATTCAGGTGTAAAAATTTATAAGCATTAATCTCCGATTCAATATAAAACAAACGGCATTTCATGATGCACATTTGCGAGAATTTGTTCGAGAAAGACTTAGAACGCATCATGGCTCGTTTACTTTTTACCTAGTATGACAAGAATGCACTAGTGATGACAATGCGAAAAGTAATTTTTAAACAAATATATTTTATTATTATATACATTTGTACAAGATAATTTATAAAATACGTAAATTATTACGAATAAAAAATTCAGATTAGGGTTTTGAAGTTTTATTAGTTATATATACAAGTTTTTTCTCATCTTTAAGGCAATATCATGCAATCTGAAAGGGCGATTTTCTACGACAAACTACCTCTTGCTAGCGCGCGCACGTGTGTGTGTGTGATTTAGATTTTATTTTTTCTATCATTCATATCGCTATGATGTCTGCAGTGCGGTAGTTTAGAGTGATGTCTGACACTATGGCATCATGCCACACACGTGTAGTATCATGTCCTTCCCAGTCAAATTATCCTGACACCAGGCCGACCATTCCTAACACTAACTTCTTAATGATGAACACCAAGCTAGGCACTATTTTTATGTGCTTTTGGTATGATCTGGAGTGGGGATTGCTAGAGTGGAAACGACTCTTTATGGAGTACAAGCTCTTTGGCAATTGAATCACTCAGAGATGAAAACGTTACAAATAGCATGTAAAAGACTGTGTAGGAAATATCCTAATGCTAAAAGTCGAAATTAAATCAATGATAAAGACGCAACAAATTATTTGTTTCATGGTGACTAACTATAAATATTTGATGACTCAGAAATCTATTAGAACAGTCAACAGGGAAAAATAGAGGAAAAAATAGAACAATAACAAAATAAACAAAATAGCAATAACAACAATAAGACTCAGTCTTTTCCTTCAAATAACAGCACGAACAGCATGCGATATTTAATTTTATAATATATATATATATATATATATATATATATATATATATATATATATATATATATATATATATATATATATATATATATATATATATAGATATAAAATGGCACAACTACGTACGTTCAAAGGAACATATTTAAACTTAAGATTAATAGTTTTTAAGATATTGTACATAAAATGATTACATGAGTTTTCTTTAGTAATTCATGTTTTCGGTGTTAAGAGGTAGCGTTTTAAAGCCTGTATGCTTATATACTACAGTTATAGAATGATATAGCTTTGTATTTATTCTGGTTGTGTGTGTGTGTATGTATGTAGCACACATGGAGTGTTGTTTATTTCTGGGGTTTAGTCATCGTTTGTTATGGCTGTGCAGGCTAATGAGTGAGTGACAGTCCTATTGCATTTGAAGCAGACGTACAGGAAAGTCTGATTTGCTTAGTTTGCTGCTGCACGCTTCTTTCTCTCGCGTTTCTCTGCGGAATTTGGACTCTCCTCCCATCAGTGACCGCTATGCCCTTGTTAACTGTCATTCTCCAGGTGCCACGATCCTCGGCCTGTACTTTTCAGCTGCCAGCTGTCTGGTGAAATAACGCATACCTTCATGTCCCTCTTGCACACATCCCTGAAGCTTAGTGACGGCCGGCCGATTCTTCTGGTACAAGTGGCCAACTGGCCATATAGGATTTCGTTTGGTATCCTCCCATCCTCCATGCGTCCGACGTGTCCCAGCCATCGAAGGCGCTGTTTTCTGAGCAGGGAGTAATGCTTGGGATGCTTAAATGTTGTAGGATCACATTGTTTGGAATGTGGTCTTGCCAGCCGATTTTCAGGATACGTTGTAGGCATCGTATGTGGAAGGATTTTAGTTGACGCTCTTGCCTCATGTAGGTGCTCCACGTCTCACTTCTATATAGGAGGGTGCTCAGAACGCAGGCTTGGTAGACTTGAATCTTGGTGTGCACTGTCGATGGGCTGTTTTCCCACACCCTCTTTGTTAGTCGGGCCATGATGGTGTTTGCCTTTCCAAGCCTTCTCTCCAGCTCCACATCAATCGAAAGAGTGTTGATGATGGTTTGAACCCAAGTAAATAAAGTTGTTGACTACTTCCAGGGTGGTGACATCTTGAGCACTGACATTTGTCGTTTTTATGCTGATGGTGAGCCCGAACTGTTTACAGGCATCAGCAAAACGGTCTCCCAGTCTTTGGAGCGCATCCTTAGTGTGGGTCACAAGAGCCGTGTTGTCAGCAAAGAGCATCTCCCTGATGAGTATTGACCTAACTTTGGTCTTTGTACGCAGTCGTGCCAGGTTGAACAGCCTCCCGTCGGACCTGGTATGCAGATAAACTCCATCAGTGGACGTGCTAAAGGCGTGGGACAGGAGCAGGGAGAAGAAGATGCCAAAAAGGGTTGGTGTTAACACGCATCCCTGCTTCTCGCCTTTGTTTATGTGGAAGGATTCTGAGGTGGATCCATCATACAGGCTATGCCCTTCATATCTGTATGGAAGGAGATTATCATGCTGCGAAGTTTTATGGTCAGCCGATCTTCCCGAGAAGTTCAAACAGGCCCTTGGTGAGGTCGATGAACATCATGTAGAGTGGTTGACCTTGCTCTCTGCTTTTCTCTTGGAGTTGTCAGAGGGAGATCATTTCTGTTGTCGACTTCCTGCTCTGAATCCGCACTGGGATTCCGGGTACACGCGGTCCGCCAGCAGCTGCAGCCTGTTGAGGATGCTGCCGGCAAAAACTTTGCCAACGATGCTGAGAAATTGAAATTCCTCTGTAATTGTTACAATCACTGCGGTCTTCCTTTTTTGTAGAATGCAGCAATTGTAGCGTCGCGCATGTCTTGGAGGACTGCTCATTCCTCTGAGCAGAGGCAGAGTACCTCATGCAGTGGCTGTAGCAATACCGGTTTCCCATGTTTGATGGCTTCTGGCAGGATGCAATCGCTACCTGGTGCTTTGTCATTTGGCAGGTAGTCGATCGCTTTGCTGAGTTCATCTAAGGTAGGCATTTTGTCTATAGTGGGCAGTTCCTGTACGCTGCTGATTGCCACATCTGTAACTGAAGTTTCTTGGGAGTACAGTTCTGAGTATTGCTCCACCCATCTGGTCATCTGTTGCTCACGGTTTGTGATCTTCTCACCCATCAGATATTTCAGAGGGGACAACTCCTTCACTATAGGACTTAGGGCCTTTTTGATGCCACTGTACATGCCTTGATGTTTGCTGACTCGGCACTGAGCTCGATTCCTTCACACAATTGCTGAAAGTATTCGTTTGATGACTGTCTAGCGATGTGTTTGGTGGTCCTGCTGGCTCTTCTGATTTCAGCAAATGTACATTCATTAGGGCATTTGTTTTTTGGTAAGCTATTAGAGATTCTCGTTTGTTCTCGATTACTGGTTCCATCCTTGAAAGCTGGGCGTTGAACCAGTCCTGGCTGGGCCGTTCCTTCTTGCAAACTTTTGACATAGCTGTGTTATAGATGGTGTCCTTCATGGCGTTCCTCTTGGCTGTGGCATCGTGCTCTGGCAGGTCCTGAAGAGCATGATCCAGGGCGGACACATACTCCTCAACCTTGGAGGAGATAGACATTTGCGCAGTGTTGATGCGAGGGCAACATTTTGATTTGGAGTTGTTTAGTCTTCGTGACTGAAGACTCACCCTGCTGCACACAGATGCATGGTCGGAGTCGCAGTCTGCACAATGGTAGCTTCAGGTGGAGAGGATGCTGTTCAGGGCAGAGCACCTGGTGATGATTAGTTGAGTTTGTGCCAGCTATGATATATAGGATAGTTCCATGACACTATGTGTTGAGGCTTACACTTGAGGAAGGTGTTTGTAACGCACAGGTCATGATAGATGCACAGCTCTAGCAGTCTTTGACCATTTTCATTGGTCTTTCCAGTGCCATGATGTCTGAGGCAGGTAGCCCATGACTCGTGATCAGCTCCAACTCTAGCATTAAAGTCTCCCAGGAGGAATAGTAACTTTTCCTTAGGAAATCCTTTGATCTATTCGTCCAGTTTCCCATAAAATTGATCCTTTAAGTCTTCTGGAGACGTGAGGGTGGAGGGTGGGGGTATAAGCACTGAGGATGTTGACAGGACCTTCAACCTTCAGCAGTGGCAACGCGGATGGACAAGAGACGTTCAGTGCTCCCTGACTATATATATATATATATATATATATATATATATATATATATATATATATATATATATATATATATATATATATATATATATATATATGTATGTATGTGTGTGTGTGTGTGTACGTTTTTGACAGTCCTGTAAGACCTCTTCTAGTGCTGAATGGGGACATTTTACACTTCTATGACATTGACTTTTTGGGATACGTCGTTTCCGAAAATTAGTTAGAAGGTTTTGTGTGTATGTGTGGGTGGGTGTGTGATTTAGATTTTTAACGTAGCTTTAACTATTCTTCAGACATATTGCTATGATGTCTGCAGTGTGGCAGTTTGGGGTGACATCTAGCGCTGGGGCATCATGCCGCAGACATGTAGCATGATGTCCCACCCTGTCAAATTATCCTGACACCAGGCCGGCCTGTCCTAACACTAACCTTTTAATGCTGTGCTCCAGGCAAGGCCGCTATTAGTACCATTTTTTAAAGTCTTTGGTACGGCTCAGCTGGGGTTCGAACCTGCGACCTCCCGCATCTAAAGCAGATGCTCTAAAGACTAGGCCACCGGAGCTGTTTCTGAAGATTATCAATTTTTAAATTAGATCAGAACTTTGCGTGTGTGTGCCCGCGCGCAAACCTGCATTGGTAATACAGAAGTTTGCATGGCACTTGTAGTTACTGAGTCAAGATGTAAAATTGACAGTACAGACTCATACTCTCAATGCTTTGGTGGTTTGTTTGGGGTGGGGGTTGAGGTGTTTTTTTAATGCATAGGTAAGCATATTTATGGTTTTTCAGCTCATCTGACTTCTTCTTGTAAAGATGTAATTTCGTAGATGATATGTTTTGAACATACTAAGAGCCATGACTGGTTAAATTCTAGAATAGCCAGATGTTTATTTGTACAATGTATAGTCATTTGTACGCCTGAATTATAGCCTTATATTATTTGTACGCTTTCATCATACTAAATTGTATTTGGAACTTTGTATATACTAATATGGCGGCCTTTAATCTGACATTAAGAATTGTACTTTTACTTAATTATTATTGCTTATTGAACTTTTTTTTCTTGACTTCCTTTGTAGGGCTGATAACTGATTCCAAATTTTTTATCAATGGTGATCATGTACTAATAGTAATCATAATGACTAACATGGTCTTGTTATATTGAAAAAGGCTTGAAGAAAACTTCAGAATGTCCAATTGAATTATGCTGATCACATGTCATATTTCTGCATTGTGCTGAATTGTTTGTCATAATTAGGGATGTAAATACGGTTACAGCACAGTACAGATTTTTGAATAATCGAAAATTACAGTAATAAACTGGTAATTTCCTTTTAATTCCTGCACCAAATACATAGTTTTCAGTTATCTATTTTTCAAGTATGTGAAACTGTTGCAAGTTGAAGAGAGTTCCCCAAAAAATAATGAAAATTAAGGATAAGTCTCTTTTACAAATCCCCCCCTACCATTTCCTTTATGATTTATTTTAAATGCGGATCGTATCCTTTTACCGAATAAAGTAAAGACTGGTTTGGCAAAATCAGCGTCATCGCCTTGCCAAATGGACAATATTATGTTGAAAGTCTGTAACTATTTTACATCAGCCATTAAAGGACAATATTCCATTAACTGTTAATAGCCGTCCGACTAGCCGTTGTTGAGAAACCATAGCAAATATTGGGCAAGCTTATATGTGCACAATTTGTCTTCGTAGGCCACCGTAAAACATTAGCAAAGCCTTTGCTTAAGTTATCAAATGACAGTATGAACCAGATGTAGAGACTCTTGCTAGACAACAAATTTCAAAACTCTGTCTGGAAAGAATTTAGCAGCAAATGTAGACAGTGAAATTGTAGCTGTTACAAAGTTAATTATTCGGATTATCGCCCTGGGATAAAAGCAGAGAAACATTTAGACTAAATTAACCTAAATTAAATAAGAGTAAAATAACCCAAATAATATTCAATTATGTACAGTCACTGGATAAAATGCTTCACCTGAATTACAAAGAATACATATATGTTAGGCTAGCAAGACGTGGCACAATAATATGACAACAAAGCAAGTTGATCTGGATGAAAAATAAAAATCGCATGCGAGCATAGTACAAAAAGGAAACGGAAATCAAAACATGCCAATCAGATGTTTCGTTTGTTTGATTTACGTCAACTAAAAGAGTTTTGGGAATTATTTGCCATAGACAACTTTACTAAAAAATTTCAAATTTACCAATCAAATTTGTATTTTTTGTGTGTATTGTGCGTTTTGTTGTCATTTATTTACAAGGTTAGAAGTTGGTTGTAGCCTTATGTTAATGGTTCAACAAAAATATAATGTAGACTTGCGTTATGAAATATGTCTTTAATATATAAATAAATACACAGTCTTTGCACAACATGCAGTTTTAAACGAACATTTCTAATATAAAATTCAATCCACGTATGGTCTACAAAGCATTGTCAAACACACTCAAAATTTTGAAAAAAATAGTTTTAATGCAAAGCTGTATGTAAGCATTGTTAATAAAAATCTAACAATATTTTACTTAGCATGAAATATTTTAACAATAATTGAATGAATTATAAAATATAATTTCTTAACAACTTTACATGCATACAACACGGTAGAAAGGAAGAGTGTTTTGACCATCGTCTTCCGAAAATTTCAAGCATTATTTTTCAACTTTTGGAATTCAATATACAAAAGGGGAGTTTTGAGTGAGATGAAAAATATATTATGTTAGAAGTGGTTAAGTCACGAATGATAAAACCAAATGTTTTAACTTAAAGAGTGAAATATCTCATTTTATCTACAAATATAACCACCCTCTTCAGTCCGAATAGATGACATTCAGGCTTGATGATACCAAAGATGATCGATATCATTGTTTTCTCTCAATCGTTGTAGATTCGTTCATGTTAAACAAATTACACAATGATTGACGCACGCATTACTAACAGACGGACATTGACTACACCCAGTGTATTTTGTGCAATCGTGCTTAAAAGATTTCTGTCAGACGGACGATCAGTTAGGACAAAATGAAAACGTCCAACCACCAACTCCTTCTCAAGCGATGGGGAATATAAATTTTAACTAATAGTGCACCACAAGGAAAATAAAGAAGCAGAATCTACATTGAAATCACAATGTATCGATTCACCCATTAGGAATATTTCGTAAACTAGACATTGAACACTTAATGAAATTTGCAGAACATAAGACATCATCTGGTAGTGTTAGGATAATTTTTTTTACAAGGTACATGCGGGAGAATCAGCTTTTATGACTCAGTGGATTATTGGATGTCATTCCATTTTAATGGAAATCTCCTGTAGTCTCTGGATGGCCAAAAGAAAGAAACAAATGCAAAAGCTAACGTGTATTTGACGTGCAAAATGCAAATAACTATCTTGTGGGAATCATAGTTGTTTTAGGTGTCAATTTGGTTAATAATTAACTCGTCAGTGTGTGTTAATCAAACCCCAATACGCGCCAATATTTTTTTTTATACCTCCAACCAATACTCCCACAAGTAAAATTGAATGGCATCCCGTGATTGACTTGCACATCGGAATCTTGTCGAACGTTCACTATTGTCCGTCACTCAGTTGACTGTAACTGTATATTCAACCTTTAGAAAACCATTTTTCGTGAATTTTCAGTACATACTAAAAATTACCACTAATTAAAACGAGGTAGTGTCAATATAGAGTAGTTTGATTTGTGTGCAATACAAAGGAGCATGGCCTGGTTATCATTACTCTGACTATAGGTCCGTTAGTTAATTGGAGGATGTATAAGAAAGCTTTCTTGCTGTATTTAGATTGCACTATTTAAGTATATTGAATACCTATGATAAGACACGCTACTGCATGCTAGTAGCATATAGTGTTAAGGATGTAATCATACTTTTATTAAGTCATATTTACAAAAACAGACAGAGATACTGCACCTCAAATAATAAAAGAAGTCTTCCACCAATTACAGACACAAACTAATACTATAATGGCATAGGGAAAGACTTTCGTCCCTCTAAATTGAATATATCCTGATTTCAAAAATAGTGGATTCATTACAAAGTCCATTTTTCTTCTTATTGAAGGCTAAGACTTATTAATACGGAATCGGAAGAGACAAGTGACGTTATTTTGACATAAATTCATTTCATGAATTCAATTTGTTTAATATCACATGGATTTTAAAAGACAATCCTTATTTCCTAAAAGCATATCTTCTTTCCCATTCAGTCTATAAACAATTTAGAGATTGCCATTCCGTCTACTTAAATATTCAGTTTATTAAATATTCAGATATCAGAAATCCGTATCTATGTCTCTATCTGCCTATCTCTCGATCTATCTGTCAATCTATTTATATATCTGTCTATCATTCTGACTATTTACATTTACATCTTACTGTATCACTATATTGTTTCCGGGCAAAAAATGTATGTATGTATGTATGTATGTATGTATGTATGTATGTATGTATGTATGTATGTATGTATGTATGTATGTATGTATGTATGTATGTATGTATGTATGTATGTATGTATGTATGTATGTATGTATGTATGTATGTATGTATGTATGTATGTATGTATGTATGTATGTATGTATGTGGGTGTGTATGTATGTATGTATGTATGTATGTATGTATGTATGTATGTATGTATGTATGTATGTATGTATGTATGTATGTATGTATGTATGTATGTATGTATGTATGTAGTTCAAAATTACTAAGGAGTTTGCTACTTCTACTATAAGTACATGTCTTATGCTGAATGAAATCTAAATGCAAGAAGAAACCTTTTCACTAAATAATAAATAGTAATTCATAATTATGTATGTCTGTTTCTCTGTTTACCTATTTATCTGTCTATCCCTGTATATATTTAGTATGCATATAAAATCACGCCTTTTATGTTGTCCACAAATATTTGAACAGAGTATGATTAAAAATTTATTAAAAATTATTATTATTATTATTATTATTATTATTATTATTATTATTATTATTATTATTATTATTATTATTATTATTATTATTATTATTATTATTATTATTACTACTACTACTACTACTACTACTACTACTACTACTACTACTACTACTACTACTACTACTTTGTAATAAGCATCATTCAAAAATGTAAATATGCATTTTTTTCAAAGGCGATGCAATTTTACAAGCTAATGTAATAAACCTATGGTATGCCTTATTTGTGTCTACGTATCAGTTTATAGCCGTGTTAGATTTTAGTAAATATTTGATTATGGGGAGTCGGTGTTAGGAAGATATTTATCAGCCAGAATAATTAGCTAGTTTCTAAGAGCAAACGTTATAATGTTCAGCATTTACGAAACTTTATGATAGTAGGAATAACTTTCGTATCATAGACCCGCACTAGTTTATTAGCATAAGTACTCATTTTGGATATTTTTAGATATACGTGTTTAGTAATTAGAAATAGGAATATTTAGAGATTAGAAATAGGAATAGTTAGTAATTAGAAATAGGAATAGTTCTTTTCATTTGGTGATTGGCCTAGTAGTTA